AAAACAGGTCACCATCTTTTTAGTTTCCCCTTATGCGTCTCCTAAATTGTCAGAAAAACAAAACTTTATTTTTAACATTTAAACTCACATGCCTTTTGACAATGTTTTGTGTGGTTCAACACATGCTCTGCTAACTTCATCCTTTATGTTGAGTTCTCAACTTAAAAGAAACAAAAAAACAAAGTTCACATCTTTAAACTATAAACAGCCTTGGTAATTAATTTTGCTCGGGTTTTCCCAAATGACAACTATAGTCCTTTCAGCACTGTAGACTGTACAACACAGCTGGTAACAGTTATTGAATAATCACAAATAAAGACATGTTTGTGGTGGAAATTTACATTTTCCAGATTAGTCTGAAATATCCAATATTTGACTATTTATTTTTCTGCCTTCTTGTCAACAGTTCATGCCACTCTGACATAATTACCGGAGCAGGAGTGCTATGTATAGACCTTGCATCTGGATTCTGTGATTGTGTCAATGAATTGGAAGAGCCAGGAACACAGCTTGAGCATAACTTACTGCAAGCATGCAGTGTCTAGAACTTTATCAATAGTCCATATTCTTCACAGGGACAAGTTGAGATTAATTCTATGTTGAAAAGTATAACAAAAAAAACATAATGGTTGGGCTTTTGAGCCTTCTACTGGTGTGAGGTTCCAAAACTGAGATGCTGTGATTCTCCTTTTTGCTACTTGTTCCTTTGCAGTTCGCACAATGACACAATACTTCACGTATACTAATGCATATGTTATCTATGTATTGTATATATTCATAAAAATCTACATCACGTTAAAGCAATTTTAATTCCAATAGATGTTATTTCACACACTGCATATGATATACAGTATTCTTGATACTGCTGATACTGTATATCATGTACTGTTTCCCTTCACCTTTATAATGTCTAATCTGGGGAAAGGGAAGTTTTTAGAACAAATCTTGCAAAATAAAACAAGAAACACTGTGTAAAAATGAACAATAATGTTCCACATCAAAGGATTATGCTTTATGTAACAAAACAAACAATTAAAAATACAAATGAGTCTCAAGTTTAAATATATTGCAAAGTCAAAGTCTTTTGTCTGGACATATTACATTGAAGAGCAAAGTCATACAGTAAAACCTTTCAATTCCTGACAGTTCTAACTGCCACTTTGAGCACCTATCACATTTTGTTTCTATTTTTTTCGTTTTCAAATTCCTAACGGGGAGAAAATTAATAGCTATACGGTACAGAAGAAGATAGAGATATCTAGAACAAAATTTAATAAAATTACATTTCCACTGGCATGTTTTCGTATGTAATCTCTATAGTACATGAAGCTGTGCTGTAAAATGCACCAAAAACAATTAATTCAAAAAACAACAAAAGAGATAACCAGCCATTAGATCTCATTTTATTCTTTCATTGTATTAATACATTTGAAAAATAACGATTGAACATTTAACTGATTTACATCAGTTGCATGGTTTTACTTATAATTATAAAGAGGGGGATTATTACAGTTGGCTGTCTCCACTGCATTGCCCCACCCTATGCAGAATTGAGTCTCCCAGATCAGCTGGGTGTGAGTTTGCCCTTGTCTCAGCCGAATTTTGCTGAACAGGAAATGAAAAACAGCATACTGTTGCACGGCTGAGAACGGCACTAGGCCTGCCAGCTTTGGATTTGTAAATTAAAACCAGGACATGCTTGAGAGGGAAGACGCGAGGCACTGCGCCCACTGCAGACTGAAATTAGCTGGTTTCTAGATCCATCTAGTGGCAATGTCGCAAAATTGCAGAATTTTTTACATGCATTTTGGAATTGAGTATTGGAGATATTCTTCACAAATTTAAAAATATGAAAATCCGTATTTAGTGCATTTACAGATTATGTAAACGAGCTTGATGTGGTTTTAAAAACAGCATAACTCTGAATAATTTTCTGAATAATAACAATATTTTATATTATATATTGTGTACATACAAGACAAGACGTGCAGGGGAAGATTTCACAAGAACTGTCTTTCTAAATGATCATGCAAAGATCCCATGACAGAATAAACTGCTGAGCAAATCTGTAGCATTAATCCTTGATCAGCAGGGATCATTTTGACCATTAGATAAGCAATTACAGTCTTTTCACAGCAAGTGAGTTAATAGCAGCAGTATTTTCTTTTATCACATCATTTTGGAATAAATGGCTGGCACGTTTGAATTAGCTCCTACAATACTACATATTGGATCCTTGGATCAGATTTTTTTAAGATGGGTTTCTTAAAGAAAATTGTGCTCTGTTACTTCGTCATCGTCTCATTAATTAACTTTTCACATATTTGTCTATTTAGAAAGCCTGAGTTTTAACTGTCTTGCAGCAACAACTTAATGTTCACATTGTGCACTTCAAGGGCAGAAAAAACAGGAAAGCACCCCAGCTAAACTCTTCCACTGCAAACTGCAGCCAGGAGGAATGATGTTTACATTGAGTCTACTGTGCGTCAGCACAAACAGGGTCCAGGAGGAGAAAGGGAGCTCAGAGCATAAAGGATTTCTGCGAGAATGCCTTGAAACCCAATCGCAAGGGTAATTAACACAATGAAAATAGGCCAGGAAATCTGGCAAACTTCCCAACAAATCTTTACCCCCTCCAATGTAATTGCATTGTGACTAATGTACAGTAACAGTGACAAATGGCCTGTCACACAGTGTGACCTGACTCCTGATGTGTCAGATAACTGTGACAGCTATAGCATCTTGGAGCGGAGTCTGTCCAGAAGATGTGCTTCATAAAAACACTGTGAGTACAGAATATACTGTAGGAGCTCTGGTACTCTAACACACATCAAAAACCTCAGGCTCGAAATCTCCCCCATCGTACTCTACTTTGCTCTCTAGATTAATTCCTACCTCTAATGAAATAGGAACAACATTTATTTTGTCATTTATTAGAATGAGTTATAGTTTGGACAGTACTGTATGTCAGTATGTCATTATGAGTCGATAAAAATTGAAAGCTGAATCCCAGGTCAGGTGGCTCAGAATAGCATTTTTGGTGATTTGCAATAAATAAAAGTGTCACATTTATTTACACCTTTAATATTTATTTAAAATATGAACAAAACGTAATCTAAAGTAACAATCTGCTCTTTCAAAGGAGGCCTCTGCAGTGCTACAGAGGCCTTCAGAACTTTCATTTTTCCCTGGGATATATATTTTAATGACACTACCTAAATCATTTATCTATAGCCTCATGTAGTTAGTCAGCCTTTTCTGATGTCTAAATGTTGAAATCTTGAAACCCTGGATCCCTTCATATAATAATAAAATCCATGATTTTTATAGTACCTTTCATAGCATGGATCTGATCTTTCATTAAAGTGTAGTGTGGCCACAGATGGGCAGAATAGATGAGGCATTTATTTTCACAGAAGCCATCTAGAAAAAAACTACAAAGACACAGTAAGATATCCAGTGTTAATCATCACCTCTCATTCATTGCATGGGAGCAGTGCATGAAGGGTGGTCTCCTGCCTTCAGATTTAGCCAGCAGCTCTGTGCGTCGTTCTGTTCACAGCCCTTGTCTTCCCATCTCCTGCCCATCAGCTTGAAATGATTTTCCAAACAACATGAAACAAAAATACCAGGGAAACGATAATTTCAAAGCATAACTCTGTGGGCAATTAGAATGAAAAATGGAGTTTAGATGAGGTTATGAAAACAGAACTAATGACCAGTCTGTGATCATACAAACATACCTTTCAAAGCTAGAGTAAAGCTTTTTATAAGGTTGACAGTTGTGATTATATTTTAATTAATATTGACTTCGTTATTGACATTAATGCTAATAATACTAGTGTAAGTTGTGGGTTGTAACTGTAAAATTCCAGTAAAATTATTCTGGTTGAAATATGAGTTTCAAGTTGTTACTTTCACTCAGACAGAATTCATTAACAGAAAATGTTCAGTGCATAACAACGTCAATGCACAGTTGAGGTTGTTTCCTTTATAAATCCTGCATTTTGTTTTTGGAGCAGTAACAGTCTTCCCTAGGTGCTTATAAAAGTGACTTTTCTTTAGAGAAGGGCATTTTGAGTCAACACAAATTGAAAGCTGAATTCTAGGTAAGGTGGGTTAGAATTGCAAACTTTGGGTGGTTACACTGGAGTGGGGGGCACAATTATCATTGAGGTAATTATGGTTGTGTTTTAATAATGATATTTAGATAATACAAGTTAGGATATGTCAATCTTTTGATAGTGTTGTCAAAAATTGTGGACTTGCTGTGGTGCTACATTATAATTACTGGTACTTTACATTATGATGGTAATCTACTTCATGCACCACTGAAGTGCAGTCATACCTAGGCAATGCAATGCAGACATTTTGCATCAGAAATCCCAGGCGACAGCAGCTCAGGTACAGAAGTAACAAATGACTTGAACTCAAATTGAATCAAGGAGAATCTTAGGGAGGACAGGTCTGGAGAGGAACTTAATTAGGACATTAGGGTTTACACTCTTACTTTTTAAACAGTGGTACTGTATATGATCCTGCAGCACACTGTCCCATGTCTCCAATACTGGGACAATGATTTGGAAATTCTGTTCCAGAGGCAAAATGACCACCTACTGGTCCATCAACACCACTTAGAATAGTAACCTTTCCATACTTCCATGACTCTTTGCGTAGAGAAGGGCCCCTTGTCCACAGCTTTAAAAGCAGTTTCACATACAGGACTTTCCACATTTGTCTCTGGGTCACACTTCCATGCTACTGTCTGCTATACTCTCTGTGCTGACTGTGTCAATCTCGTTGAAGATATTTGATTTAAATCAAGGCAGTCGCGTTCTTTAGCTCTTGAGTAGGGGATCCTGAGTTTACAGCCACCCTCTGGCTGTCCTGGAGACTATTCAGCTTCTAGCTGCCCAGTGAAGACAGCCCTCCAGGCTCCTGTGAGGTCTGAGGGGGACAGTAATAATTTATAATAATAATAAATAAGTTGTTCCAGAATATTGGTCGTTAATAGTTTATTTAAAATACCAAATGCAATAGAAAACAGAGTAAATTGAAGAGGTTGGCAACATCACAGACTGCATTTTGAGATCATGCCAAAGGTGGTGAGACACTATAAAATACGTACGAGCAGTATGAAAGATACAACAAGGATGTTCACCACAAATGTTATGAGGTTCGCAAGTTGTAGGTATAGGAAAGTGATTAAAAAGAAGAGTTTGGCTGCTTATTTTTAATTCAGACCTTATTAACATTTTACAAGTGGAACAATACATTATGACAAAAAAAACAAACGAAGTTTCCAAAATTAAAGACCCTGGATTCCCCTTGTCCCCTGCATCTGGTTTCTTGGTGTTGTGCATCAGCTGGGCCTGAGACTGAGGGCTATACACAAGGGAGCTGTTTCTAAAAAAGGTACAGGAGTACTCTGGGAACAATTTCTCTGGACAATTTCACTGCCATTTGGGGGAGTTCATTTTTATGTGATATGACTGGAGAGAGAGCATTGTTTAAATACTCCAGACATAATTTTAGAATTATTTCCTCCTAGCCCTTCTGAGAAATCCAGTCCAGTTTCACTGAGATTACATAATTTTGACATCAAGGTTATTTAAGATAAACAATTTGTCAAGTAGTTTTCCGGATTTTCCATGAGTCAGGATTAATATGAACTAGACTTGCATTAGTTTACATGGGTGAAATTAGGAAATAAACATATGTATTAATCTACAATAGTGAAATTTCTTCCTACTCCTCTTGCTATGTCTTATGTTATCTCATTTACCTCCTTATTTAGTAAGTTTTTTTTGTTTTTAATATCTTGTACAGCCCTATTTTATATAGTTTTTTAAACCTCTTTTGAAACAGTTTAGATTTACTCTGGAAGAATATTATTATTTGCACAACTAGCAAACTGCTAAAAAATGGCTAAGTTTTGGACTATCGGTTGCCATTTCGCAGTTGAATTTCTCACCTGAGGATAGCTGCAATGAGAGAAATGAGAGAATTTTTTTCAAAAGTCAAAAACAGAAACTGCGTAATAAAGTTGCAGTCAGTTTTCCTGAATAAGTAAAGAATACATTTGGTTGAGGACTAAGAAAATCTCGAGATCAGAGGAAATGAAGATGCTAGAACACTTTTATCTCAGAGTTATGTCGTGATACAAACAAGATTTGCAGACAGACAAATCTTGGGTCTGTACATTTCAGGGGAATGAGGCAACTTCAGGTGCATTAAAAGTTACTAAACTTTTATTCACTACAACTTCCACATTATATGTGTCAACATGGAATAATTACTTTAGGAAACACCTTTAAACCTTATTTTTTTATGTCTCATCGTTGGCTTTCCTCCAAACTCATTTTGCTGTCTGCAGTGTTGTTGCAATAACCTAGATTGTAAAACAACTGTTGCTGAGGGTGTGAGTGAAAAATACTCCACTCTTAATTTGGGTTATAGTTCTGCAAAGTCATATTGTATTTGACCTCTGTGTGGGAATTTTAGATTTTCATGAAAAGTCTGGCAGCAGTTATGACAATTAATAATAAAAACAACTACTGTAACAACAGCTAAAGGAACAATAGAGTGATCCGTATACTGTAGATGCAAAATCATGGGCGTTTAAATGCTATGTCTATTTTAACCACTAGGAGGGGTGGTTGCACTGGCAGAAGCTTTGCTTTTTCCGACCACAGGTATTTTTAATGTAGTCCTTGCTATCATTACAGCAAAGAGAACAATTAAAGAGAAGAAAAGCAGACGCAATAACAAAAACATCTGTGAGCAAATGAAAGCACGCCAGCTTACATCGTAAAACTGTTGCTGCGTTGTTTAAGATTGATTTTTGCAAACCTCTTCTGAGATTCATCTGCTGGTTTTCATCATCAATACAATAAAAATCTGCATATTACTGCTATGTCACATTACAGTTACCTCCTGAACAATGAAATATACCATTCTCAGCTCTTGACAGAAGATTTGTTATGAGTGATGTTGTGATCAGTCAGCTTTACTGTTCTACTAACTCTCTTTCAGCATTGATCTCTCTCAGCTCTTGACGTACAGATAATGCCACCTTTTCTTTTCTATTCCACCACCTTCTTTTCCAGTTGTCAGTCCTTGATGCCGTAATCCACCAACTCTTCCTTGTGTTTGCAAAACTGAACTATTTATACATTTGCCTGGGAACTAGTAGAGGTTCATTCCACACTGAAAAGTAAAAAAAGAAGGAAAGAAAAACACCACTGAATCACTTTTCAGCATGGATTTAAACTCTGCTTCTTCTGTTGCAGTGCAATGTGCTGCTGGGTGGAAGCTCAATACATTTGAGCTTCTATCACAAATTCTATCGTGACAAAATAAGCAAAATGTTACGAAGATCCCGCTATTAAACAGCTAATGCCCCCAAAATCTTGATGCTCACTGCGTCTTGAAGGGAATGGGGTAGGGCATTCTGAACATGAGTTAATACATTAAGAGCTTCAACAAATTATACACCCCTTCCCCCGCAATGTCAGACTTCATCAGAGAGATGCCACTGACCCAAGGCTGTGTGATAACTCTGTCCTTCATGAATACATGACTCAGGGCCATGGCACCTCAATAGATTCTGGCCAGCCCACGCGTGCCTTAGGTCATTACAATGAAAACAATAAGAGATTTCACTTGTTTCTTCTTCTTTTGATTCATGGAGCTGGAATGAACTTGTCCTTTGTGTTATCCAGTGGCAAATAATGTGAGGAAGGCGATGGGTTATAGAGGTGGTGAAAGATCAAGAATAAGGCCCAATGAGTTCAATCCCATGACTCATTTGCAGGTCAGGACCCCCCTTAAAATGAACAGGAGCATGAAAAGCGAAGTAAAAATAAATGAAAAGAGATGCTTCTTTTAAAAGATATTTCCTTCCCCCACCCCAAAACCCTTTTTGTTTTCCCCATAAAGTCTTCCTTTGTCTGAATTGGACTGGAAGGCTGTGTTTCACAACAAGCTCTCAGACTGCCAAACCTACGACATAATAACTATGCTCTCTGGAAGGTTTTAAGACGGATACAGGATTATACGGCTCTTGAAGAGAATGTACAGTAAACAAGCTTTAGACATGTGTCCTGTTTGTTCATGTAAACTAAAAACTAAATTTTTCAAACAGTAATTTATGTTGTAGGCTTTGAGCTGCATTTTTATGTGTTATCTACAAAAATCAAATATTAGATTGAATCTGAGGGTATTGCTTGTCTTCGCTGTACTCATTGCAGTACAATGATGGTACAGTTGAACATCAGTAAGCTTGTATTAATAAGACCTAATCGACAAGTCATTTTCCTTATAGGTCTGGTGGTGAAAGACGTCACTTGAAGGTTTAGAGGAATGGCAGACACACAATACCAGAACAAAATACCGATATGAGAAGACAAGACAGCGACGATAACTATGTGAGCATTAAAAAAAAAAAACACGCTGATAGAGAAGATCTTTTCTTACTCGATTTCCAGTTCACTGATCCATACGAACGCTACGGGTTTCAGTGCAAGACTGAGCAGCAGAGAAACAAACGTAGGCTAATCTCTTTGGCCACCAGCACATGTCTGATGGCTTCTATCGCTGGTCAATCCTTTGTGGTCAGTTCTCCTTAAAAAATCCAACCCTACCATGCACAAGCCTGTTACCCAATCCAGGAAAGCGCATGCTGTATATAGAGATATGTCACGTTTTAATATATATACGATCTCGGCCACTCACAAACGAGAAACGGGGGAAGCTCCTTTTGCCAAAGCAGGCGGAGTCGGAAACGCGAAAGCTGGGAACTGCCTACCTACTCTCCTCCGGCAGAGGTGCGTGATTGTGGAAGCCCAGCGAGAGAGCTTGAGCGAGTACCCGCGAGTAGCGCAGCAGAGTTGGGGCTGAGAGTTACTGCGACCCGGCAGACGCCAGCATCATTTAGAGCAGCGGCCGACCGCGGCGAGTGGAAGCTTTGAGTTTGCCCGCTGGACGCTCATCCTTTTTCTTTCCCCTCGGCAACAATACATTAACACCACAAAGCAGCAGCGGCCAGTAAATACAGGAATAACTCCTCGTGGCTGCTTGGACATTTCTTGTAGAAATGGACGGTTTCGCCGGCAGTTTAGGTAAGTAACTCCCCAGCTAAAGCATGATGCACTATTAATAGAATATCAGTCCACGGTTGTTGAACTGGGGTGAAGGCAATTTAAAGATCATATCGCTCCACTCGTTGAGGGAGCACTGAATTAACAGATCCTTGTAAGTATTGTTGCACATCGCCTCCTTTTTTCGTTCATTTTCTGAACCATTGTTTTGCTGGGTGCACGATTTGATTTTTTAGGTTGATGCAGATAGTTGTGGCTCATATACTGCTGAGGGTTCTATACAATCGCTGGCATTTGGTTAATATTTTTGGTGCTTTGCTTTCGTAAGCTTTTGATTGCCAAATTTGGTGTCAGTGCAATAATGTTCTGATAGAAATGAGTATACTTTACATCTGTGAAAGTCTTATAAACATTGTTTTGACTTTATTTGTAAGTTAAAATTGCAGACGAATTTAACTACCGCAATGCATTTCTAAAGCAACCAGATCTCCACTTCATTGCTTGTGTGCATAAATCTTCAAAGGGAATACATGAAGCATCGCATTGTAGTTCTTGGGCATCCAGTGCTAAATTGCGTCGAGTTGAATGTGCAGTTTTTCTACAGACTGTATTGTCATACCCGTGATTTAGCCGATTTAAAGTTAAGGTGAAGATGAATTTTTTAATGCGAAAAAAAAACAGGGGGACGTTTTTGGTGTATGACAGTTTAAGGCTCCACTGAAGTTTTAGATTTAAGTATTTTTCAGATGTAATGTTCGAAACTGAAGGAAGGAAGGGGAAAAAAAACAAAGTTAGCTTTCCGTCAGAAAATGCAAACCTCGGTTTTGCTGCTCATCCTTTCTGTGATAACGTGAAGGCGCCGAGCAGCGAGGTTTGGTGCTGAGGAAGTTTTGTTTCAGATTGAAGGTGAAGTGGAGGCAAGGACAAGATCTTCCAACGATAATAGTCGGGGCCCTTTAAAATCTGAAGTTTCCAGCGATAGTGCGAGTGATTTTGTTTTATTTTAGTAGTGCTTTGGTTACAAATATTGTATAAAGTAAACATCTGGCGCCGGTATCAGGATGTTTATTTAACATGGGTAACTCTCAATAGAAAACATTGCAATCTTTGACACAATTGGATCATGAAACGGAAACTTTCTCTATTGCAAGTCATTCTGCACATGTTTCATTGTAACACACTGCTCGACACTTCTCACATACATCTTTTTAAACATTAAACGCTAGTACGTAGAGGGTGTCAGTCATCAGACACCCAAATAAATTAGCGGTAAAGTAGAACACGTCAAGGAAAGATCGCCCCTGTTCTGTCTTGGGGATTACTAAAGCAAAGCCTTAGCAACTTTCCTCTGATATTCCCTGCTGTAGCTGAAGCCAAGTCCGAAGAAAAATATATCCACCCCTTACAACAAAAAATAAGTGTTGAAAAGCATGGTTTAGAAAACGTTGTCTCCTTAGTTCTCCTAAGTGGCTTGAAGCAATCGTTTCGGGTCCACAGTGACACCCATTGTCAATATATTGCAATAAAAATACAGTACTGCAGCAAAACGTCCCTTGCACTGTACTACAGATAGATTTATTTTAGGAACTAGTAAAGGTTTGTTCCGTGGTGAAAAGAAAAGAGACACAACCTTTCGCCTGTGGAGCCTTCTTCAGGTGTCAAGATTTATTTTACGCACAGACTAAAACAGGCTGCTTGTAAACCAATGCGCTATACAAACGTATGACAAGATCACAGAAATGTAATCAGCTTCATGCCATTTCAGTTAACAGATTAGAAATTGGAAGTATATCTAATCAATTTATGTGTTGTTGAAAATGGTTTAAAAAAGTCAAGTAATAAAGAACGTGCTTCTGTTTGCACAGACCTGCAGCTGATTTTCCCACTTTAGTATTTTTTGCAGTCCCTCTGCACAGTATGCTGTGTTCACCTGGGATGTTGTATCCCAGAATGCTCTGCTGCTAGCCTCACAGGGCATGGAGGAAGACAGCTTCATGAACGGTAGTGCTTCCCAGTAACGGGTGTGCTGTATGCTGTGCCAGCTGGTACATACTGTAATAGACTCCACCATATGCATCATTTTCAGAATTCCCTATGCCTTTCCTAAAATACTATCTCTTAACCTTTTGTAAATTATTTACCTATTTTATAGTTTTGGGTTTCTCTGTGCTTCTGGCTAGCATGTGATAATGACCTATTCCCAAAATGCACGTGAAAAATATGATAATAATCTTCCTGCCATCCTGTGTATTGTTGTGTCAGTTTATCTGTTCACTTTGGACCTGTAACTGATTTTCAGTCCTGGGTGTTGTCAGGGTTAGTGAGGGCAGAGGGATTAATGTCTGGCAGAGGACTGAGTCTAGATTAAACCAAATTCTAGATTGACCTGGATGAGTCTCATCCTTGTTTGTATTTTCCTGCAAACTCAGCCCTGTGTCACCAACTCATCTTCATGGTGACACTTTGAATAACAGCTAAGAAAACAAAGCATGAAAGCTTAGCTGTGTATCCATACTCATACTGCAAGTACTGCACATTTGACAGCAATGGCCACTGTGTTGATTAAGGCAGAAGTGAAGTTACTGTTACTCCTTCCCTCTCTCATCCCTGGCTGCCACATTGTAAACTTTGTCAGAAAGCCTGGTGCAGTCAGTCAGCTTTTTAACTGTCTGATAACGTCTTAAAATACATTCCTAGTAAATCAGGTGTGATTGTCATTAAGCAACCACTGAGCAGTGGTTTCCATAAGGTGTAGCGAGCCCAATCTCCTAAACAGCAGAAAAGACAAGGAGAGGATTAGGTTACAAAATTCCTTCATCTTAAAAAAAAAACACAGAAAACATTAAAAAATCCTCTCCTGAACCCCAGGCTGCACGTGCTCTTGAATGTTTCCAGATGGAAGAATGCTGCCTTTTGACCTCATGCATTTTTCCCTTTTCTTTTCTCAACAATGTATTCAACTGCAGCTGATGTGAAAGTGATTGTATTTTATTTTAATCCTGAGGTCAGAAATTGGCTTATATTTGTTTTGCTGAAATGAAATCTCAACATCTTCTGGAGAAGGGCGTTATAGACAAGTGTGAGAACCATAATATGTCTTGTACCACTTTAAAACATTTTACAATCTTACAAATAAAATAATGAGGTAATGACTCCTCTGTCACCAGAATTTACTTGTGCTGTTTATTTGCTTTCCATTAGCCACAGAGGTGCAGTTGGAGACTTCAGAACTGGCACCACCTGTATCTTAAAAACAGTGAAAACTAGAACCTTTGCGTTGCTGCTTTATTGGATGACTTTATGTTCAAATCATTTTAACAAGTAGCAGAAAAGTATTTGAAAATCTGAAATATGTCATGTTGGTTCTGGCCACCTTGGCACCCCTCCTAATGAGTGCCAAACCTACCTCAGCAAAGAACAGGTGACCTGCAACAGGGGTGTGAATGCTCTTGACAGGCATGGGATGTTGATCTTACTACAGCAGTCTCATTCGGCAATGTTCAACCTGTTAGGAGTATGTGTAGCTATACTTAGTATTCTAGATTTAGTAAAATGCCTTGGGGGCAGTTATTATTTAAAGGAGCTATAGCAATCTAGAGAGAATGCAATCGTATTTGCCTGCCTTTTGTCTGTCTCTGTTGTTGTCTGATGTGTATATTTCTGGTGATTTATTTGTGGCTTGTGATGGGAGGGCCTGGCTGCCGGCGAAATCTATAGTTTTGGGGGGCTAACATGGAAACTGGCCACTCAGACGTGTCGAGTTAGATGAGGCTTCAGTTTCACGAATAAAAGTGAGCATCTAATAAACATTTCGACTACAATCTTCTCTCAATCCTAGAAATGTACAATCTTTAAAAGTATTAATGCGTGGGATTTAAAATATAATGGTCTTTCCAAATAGGATGGAGACAACACATATGACAGGGTTTTTTAAAACTAATTCGAGCTTCCTCATGTTTAATTTTGTGTCCTTTTCCCCACTGTAGGTTGCTACTGTTTCCAAATTGCCAGATACTTCCTTGAGCTCTCACTAGAGGGAAGCATGATGCACTTTGACTGGTTTTAGTCAGTCTGGTTTAGACACTCTAACTGAACTCAATGGGAGGTGGCCAAGCATTCAAACCCCATCATTTTTCAAGAAATAGACCAATAGTTCCACAATCCTTATTTAACAATGAAGTATGGAATTTTACATGGTTCACAGTGGCTTAAGGCAGTGTGGGATCAAAGACATATTCTTCGCTTAAAATGCCTTATTAAAGATTTTTTTTGAATTAATGATTTCTCTGGATTCAGTAAAATTAGGAATATATTCATACTTCTCACTTCAAGCCTTAAACCATCTTCTGTTTTTTTTTTCCCAATTTTACCTTGAATCAAATTTGATAAATTCTCAAAATATTAAGTTCCTAAAATAGAAAAGAAAACACTACAGTTCAGCTGACAATTAAACAAGAGAAGCCAAGTTAGAAGCAGACGTTAGAAGAAGCATGTGTCTTTGGAGGAGCGGATTTCCCTCTGGAAGCAGAGAGAAGCACGAAGAAGGTGGATTCTGATAGTAAGTGAGCCACCACAGGTATGAAATAATCTCCTTGGCAGTACAGGGGTTAACC